CACACCTCTCTACACACAGACACACAAACATCCTTTTTAGAAAGTCGCCTGGTTCAAGTAATTCACCTTGTTTCCAGGCGCTTAATGCTTACATGCCAGTCTTCAAAATCGAATACTCAATATTGATGTCAGTGATTGTTACTTGATCTTTAGGCTGCATAAAAGAACAGACTCCTTGCAGGATGTTCTTATTTAACCTGAGTACGAAAGGCCTTCCCTTGGCAGTGCTGAAAGAAAAACAAAACAAAGAGAGAAAGAGAGACTTTTATACCGAAAAGGAACTTCTCCATCTCCCCTGCATCCCCATTTTATAAAGAAGAGCCAGCACCACACCACAAGCTAAATGGCTTTCCCATATTTAGGAGCCAGATAACGGCTGGCACCCACTGTACAGAGTTCCATCCCCAGCCTCCTGACCCCTTGGCATGACGCGTTTCTTGGCCATACTCTGGGAGATCAGCTGCAAAGTACAGCAGGAGACTGGGCGCGGTGGCTCACGCCTGTAATCCCAGCAGTTTAGGAGACCAAGGTGGGAGGATCCCTTGTGCCCAAGAGTTTATTACCTCTTTTAAATAGGTAATAATAGGAACTCAGTGACATGGAGGAAAACTGTGTTTCTGTAAATGTGGAGACTGTTTCATCCTGCTTTCTGCAGACACTGGCCTATCCTTAGGGTTGGAGATGTTAAATCCTTTAGGGGACTCAAAGGGGCTATTGCACTCCCTATACTCACACACCACAGCCCTTTCTGAGTGTCAAGACCTCAGAAAAGATGCAGGCAGATACCCATCTGGTTTAGGCACCATCTTCACTGGGTTTTAGTTAAATGTTTCTGGGTTCCGGACTCTTAGCTTTTTATGTCCTGCTCCAATAAAACACATCTTCTGAACTTGATTAGGAAGCTACCACGGAGCCTGACTTATCTGGGCTGGCCATCTCCACTGCTCAAATAAACGTAATCACGGCCAAATCTTGCCTTCTCTTTGTACTGAGGAGTGCAGAAAATCCAGCTCTCAGGGGAGTCAACATGGAACACAGGTCTAAAAGTTCTTTTAACATTATGAAGAACATTAAGACCAAACTGTTTTAAAAGTCAATGAGAAAGTCACAACATTTTCTACAAAACATCAGGAAAGAGGAATCCTGCTACAAATTCAAGACTGACACTAGCAATAATGTTAACACCCACCATAAGGAATGATATTTAGGCAGTATTTTCCTAAGCAGAGTAAAATTATATAGCAACAAATTTGCTTCTTTTGATTTAATCAGGAGAAAGAAGGAAAGAAGTAAGGTAGGAAAGGAGGAGAGAAAAAAGAAAAGAGGAAAAGGAGGGAATTCAAAACACAGCCGTAGACTGGGCGCGGTGGCTCATGCCTGTAATTCCAGCAATTTAGGAACACCAAGATGGGAGGATCGCTTGTGCCCAAGAGTTTAAGACCAGCTCTGCCTGGCAACATACTGAGACCCTGTTTCTACAAAAAAAGTTAAAAATTAGCCAGGTGTGGTGGCATGTAACTGTAGTTCCAGGTACTGTGGGGGCCGGGTCGGGGGGGAGGTGAGGGGGTGAAGTGGAAGAATCCCTTGAGCCTGGGAGGTCAAGACTGCGGTTAACCGTGATTGTCCCACTGTGCTCCAGCCTGAGCAACAGAAGGAGATCCTGTCTCAAAAAAGTATATAAAAAATATAAAATTAGAAAATTCAGCAGTCGCAAATAACAGAGATGGAAAAACAGTTGGTGAATAGCATGGTGTGTTTTGGAGTATATTTGTCTGTCTCCCTCATGGATGAAAACGTTGAGGAATATTCTATGCCTGGCATCCAGCATTTAAAATATAAAGAAGACATATATTATTATGCTGTTCCTGAGTTATGAGATTCAATTCCACACTGATAAGCATATTTCACCTATTTAAAAATATAATACAAAATATTAAACTTGTTGCATTAATTATGATCATATTTATACCAGATCAAATAGAAGGCAGGGTTTCCTACAGGACTAAATAAACTCAGTTTAATAAACTAAATTCACCTGCCCTGGTGCCCGCCTCCTCTTGTCACCCAGCTGTAAGAAAGACTCAATCACCAGAACCCTCTCTCTTTCCTGACAGGTGTTGCTCACAGTTCCTGCTCCTTTTTCTTACTTCCCCATGACTGAGAATGTGCCAAAATATAATCGATGTTAGAAAAAATTTTACACCCATCCCCATATAAGTATATTGTATTTTCCTAACTACTCACAGACTGAAAGCTTTCTGAGGACAAGAGGCCTGCCTTTCATATTTTGATATATGCTTCCAATAATAGGTACTCACTGAATATTAACTGGCTGCTTATGAAACAATGAGTTTTACTGTACCTCTTTACCTACCTTGCACTCTTGTTGCCAATGAGCAAACCACATCCTGGAAAGGATTTTCAATGGAGAATCCATTCAAAAAGTATATTTCCCCATTTGGAACAAAGAGTTGGTTTGCTGTGTACTTAGCCCTCTCTGAGGACGGCCCGTATAATTTCTTCCCTGAATATTTTGTGAGGTCACCTCTCCTCCGCTGACTATATGATCTGAAGGCAGATTATATGAGAATTCATCTTTTATCACACAGTATCATGTATAATGCTTAGCACAAAGTACGAATTCAGATATTGACCAACTCATTCTTAGTTTTAAACTCATGACAACTTCAGGAGCAATGTGAAAGATGAGGAAGAAGATAGAAGGTAGCCCACTCTTGAAACTCTATGCTTGCTTTCGCTCTCCTAACTCAATACCACCGATTCAGTCCAGATTCAATGAATATTGAAACATAATAGACATACGACCTATGTTCAGAGATCAAGGTTGAATTTATGCAACAGCCCTCTTTGTTATAACAGAATTTTTCTTTTGTTGATTAAATTGTGCCACTTTCTTTTCTTCTGCTCCAGGCAATGGATTTTTTTGTGAAGCCAAGCTTTTAATGATTTAAGTTCATTAAATGTATTAATCATGTACTATCTCTTCAGTAAAAAAGGCAAGAGATTGGCCTTTAGTGTGGCACAAATATATTTCTAGGTTCTAAAAATTTAAACAGGTTAATAGGATTAAAAAGAAACATTTTAAACCTTGCAATTGGCAGGGGGATTTTTCTCCGAATTTCAACATCATTCAAACTTAACACAGCTTGCAGATTTCCTAGTACACTGAAGGTGTTTAACGCATTGAGTCCTGACAGAATAATTTCCTGGACAGATGGAATTTGGGATGGGAGGGATGCTAGTATAACTAGGGTACCATTCAAGAATTGTTTAGATGATGTTCTTAACATTACCTTTGAGACTGAAGGAACTACAACACAGACCATGGCCAAATTGTGTTTTAATTACTCCTTCCCCTACTAAACTTTAAAATTTCATTACCTTAAGACCTTCACTGGCTTCACTTGGTAGTGGCCCCAGTTCTGGCTTTAGTAAGTCAGCATGTGGAGTCATTATAGACAACCTAAATCTATACAGCTTAGAGGAGCACAAAACAAATATATTTTACTCTTTTTTTATTCAAGAGTGATTATTCAATCATCTCTCCCTTTTCCAAACTCACAGAACAGTTGCTTATTTTCTGACACTTATAGTATCAACCTGTTTTTAAAAGAATTATGTACATTTTTATATTTATTACTATAATTTTATTGTTACTACATCTTTTATTACTGTAATTAGAATAAAGAGAATTTTATTCTCTAAAATGAGAGCTCTGTCTCATAAATATTCGTATTCACTGCGCCCTTTCCCCTGCCACCCATCTCACCAAAAAATTAAAACAATAAGGCAACAACCCAGAGGCAGCCCAATACCAGACCTCTAGGCTTCCAACGTGTTTTTATTGAATTAAATAGATCACTTCCCATTTATAAGCATGACGCCATTCTTATACACCAGCCTTACTTTATTCTATCTACACACCAATTTCAATGACGTCAAATTCACTGTCTAATTCCCTTTCAGCTCTCCTTCTCCTCAAGGTAGTTTCTTATCTCCCTAGAAGGTGTATTGCGTGGTCCCGCGCAAGGTTTGACTTGGGAGCAAACACGGCATTGGGAAGCCTTGCGCTACGGTTTACTAATGAAGTCAGGCTCTAAGCCCTAAGGGTTTCTTATCTCCCCGCATTAGCCCACCACTGAGAAGGCAGAACCCGAGAAAGGCGACTGACCCGGCACGTTGGACCCCGTCCGCTTTAGCCCCGGCCACTTTGATCTCACGCATCTGCCTAATCAAGTTCATCCACTGCCGCGACTGCCCTGATTCAAAGAACAACATTAAATAGTTTGATTATTGGACGGTCATTTCCCTCTCCCCTCCACCCTTGATCTAATTTCTAAACGCCAGTCTCTCACCTCCCTCTCTAAACTTCCCATCAAAAGAGAATGAGCTCTTCTTCCTTCTTACCCTCGTTTGATGTGCAAATCTCCTTCTCTTTGCACATTTTTCTCGCAGTGGCGTGGGCGGGGGTGGGGTGGGGGGGAGGAGGGCAACGGAACGACCTTAAAGCCAGGGACCTAACTCAGATCTGCAAGCCGCGACTCTTAAAGGGTTAATGAGTAATGAGCAAAGAGGCGCCTTGCTAGAGCCATTGAATTACAGATCGGTTTGTGTTTAATACCGAATATGACTTGTGTGCACAGTCAGCGAGTGTTGGCGTAAGCGAGAGGGGCGAAAAGTGCTTTTGCAGAGCGTGTCCCCCCTCGGCTCTGCAAAGTATTTCAGATCCGGATAATCCAACCCTTACCGCCAGGCAAGGGCACCCCTGTTCTCAGGGTTCCCCCTGCCGCCTGCATTTATTAAAGTCGTCTGCTCTAATGCTCGCTGGTCGCTGTCACCCCGAAGGTGAGCTGGGCCAGCCGAGCGACCCAGCGAGGGCGGGGGGTGTCAAAGGCCCCCCTTCATGTACACAAACACACCCCCTCCCAGCCCCTCCCAGTCCCTCCCAGCGCTTTGAAATCCCATCCCGGCTTTGTTGTCTCCCTCCCAAGGGGCCGGAATGCTCCGGGCCCGCGGTATAAAGGCAGCCGCGGTGGCGGTGGCGGCTCAGAGCTCTGCGCTCCCTGCAGTCGGGACTCTGGGACCGCGGGGGGCTCCCGGAACCCTGACTGTGTAGCCGCACCCACACGGTTTCGCGGGGACCCAGGCTTGCAAAGTGACAATCATTTTCTCCTTCTCCCTCTTGAGTCCTTCTGAGATGATGGCTCTGGGCGCAGCCGGAGCTGCCCGGGTCTTGGTCACGCTGGTAGCGGCGGCTCTGGGCGGCCACCCTCTGCTGGGAGCCAGCGCCACCTTGAACTCGGTTCTCAATTCCAACGCCATCAAGAACCTGCCCCCACCGCTGGGCGGCGCTGCGGGGCACGCGGGCTCTGCAGTCAGCGCCGCGCCCGGAATTCTGTACCCGGGCGGGAATAAGTACCAGACCATTGACAACTACCAGGTGAGAGGCGTCGGGGAATCCGGGGTGCTGTGACCTTGAAAGGGTCGTTTCTGGAGAGGAGGGAGTAGAACGTGCTGACTGTGTGCGTTTCAGGGAGCATTTGGCAACACTGCATTTGGGAGCGGTGGGTGGTAACAGGTCCTGGAGAGGGGGACAGATAGGGACTGCGATCAGCGTCCAGGTCCAAGAGTGCGGGTACCTGGACGTCTGGATGCCTCACCCTCCCCCCGAACCCTTCCCGCAGCCGTACCCGTGCGCAGAGGACGAGGAGTGCGCCACCGATGAGTACTGCGCTAGTCCCACCCGCGGAGGGGACGCTGGCGTGCAAATCTGTCTCGCCTGCAGGAAGCGCCGAAAACGCTGCATGCGTCACGCTATGTGCTGCCCCGGGAATTTCTGCAAAAACGGTGAGTTCTGAAAGCTCCCTTTCACACGAAAACTGTCCGGCCTTTGAGCGTCTATGAATGGGGTGGGGGGAGGGGAATCTCCGCCCTGAGAACACTGCGGCGCCACCTGCAAGTGGGTGTACAGCGGGCAGGATTCCGCTGAAGTATCTTCTTCATTGCAAGTGTTTGATAGGGAAGGAGAGAGAAGTTCGGAGGTCTCTGAGGTCCTTATCTTCCTCTGGGTCCCTCAATGATTAAACACCACGGCTTACGTCGTAGTGGACGCTTCCATAAAAATGTGTCAGGGGAGAACCTTGAGGTCAATTGAGAAGGGGGATGATGGGGAGGATGGCGGGATCATACAGAGAGACCAAAGAAACCAGCCTTGGCGTTCAGCTGCCCTTTCCATTTTTTCTTACTCTGACTCTCACAGCTCTGCCAGACTGGCCTCTCCTTCGGATCCTTGCTGAAACTGTTGTCAGCCAGAGGACAGTGATTTATCAGCATTGGCCGTTTTAAAGAGAGATCTTGATAGGCGCACATCCTTTCCCCTCCCTCTACCCTCTGCTGCCTTAATATAAGTAATCCTCCCCCAACCACAGATCCACTAACTTTTAATTTTTCAAAGAAATGGATTTAAACAGCTAAAGAGGTCTCCAGAAATAAGCTAACAGGGCGACGACCCTCCTTAGGACCCAGCAGTGCTCCGGGATGAACTAACTGGATCTCTGCAATATAGAAATTACACAGTAAAGTAACTGGTGGGTGAGATTGCAATGTTCCAGGCAGCTGGAATTGCATTTGCTTAACTTAGTCTGGCAGGACCCACATAGCACCAGGGGGAGAGAAGTTATTTTTAAGAACATTTTTTAAGTGACTGATTTTCTATTTCTTAACCCAAGGATAATATTAAAATGGGCATAAATCTCACTTGCCCCTACCACAGTTGGTGGGAAAGTATTTTAAACGGCTATACTAGGTATGTAACATGTGACTGACTGTATACAGTGTACACATTGGTGCTTCTGTCCACCTGGAGAGTTTTGCGTTAACAGTAGAGAGGAAGTTCGGCTTGTTTTTAAAATGATGTCCCTGCAATGAAGTATCTCAAGTTGGTGCTGGCACAGCAGACTGCCACTGTCACAGCTGTTAGCAGTAATGCATTACAACCCTGAAGTTAATCACTATTTCCTGCTTCCTTAGGAATATGTGTGTCTTCTGAGCAAACTCATTTCCGAGGGGAAATTGAGGAAACCATCACTGAAAGCTTTAGTAATGATCATAGCACTTTGGATGGGTATTCTAGAAGAACTACATTGTCTTCAAAAATGTATCACACCAAAGGTAAGGATGTTAAGACTCATTTTTAGCACATCAGAAGTGTCTTTTGAATTATTTAACGAAATGATGCAGGTTTACTAGTAACTGTACTTTTTTCTGCTGTCTTCTCCTGTGCAGGACAAGAAGGTTCTGTCTGTCTCCGGTCGTCAGACTGCGCCACAGGTTTGTGTTGTGCTAGACACTTCTGGTCCAAGATCTGTAAACCTGTCCTCAAAGAAGGTCAAGTGTGTACCAAGCACAGGCGAAAAGGCTCCCATGGGCTGGAAATATTCCAACGCTGTTACTGCGGAGAAGGTCTGTCTTGCCGGAATCAGAAAGATCACCATCAAGCCAGTAATTCTTCTAGGCTTCACACTTGTCAGAGACACTAAACCAGCTATCCAAATGCAGTGGACTCCTTTTATATAACAGATGATATGAAAACCTTTTATGACCTTCATCAACTCAATCCTAAGGATATACAAGTTCTGTGGTTTCAGTTAAGCATTCCAATAACACCTTTCAAAAAACCTGGAGTGTAAGAGCTTTGTTTCTGTATGGAACTCCCCTGTGATTGCAGTAAATTACTGTATTGTAAATTCTCAGTGTGGCACTTACCTGTAAATGCAACAAAACTTTTAATTATTTTTCTAAAGGTGCTGCACTGCCTATTATTCCTCCTGTTATGTAAATTTTGTACACATTGATTGATATCTTGACTGACAAATATTCTATGTTGAATTGAAATAAATCATTTCAGCTTATAGTTCTTAAAAGCATAACCTCTTCCCCCTTTTAATTCTAGAGTCTAGAATGCAAGGATCTCTTGGAATGACAAATGATAGTATCTAAAATATAACAAGAAAATACTAGCTTATTTTCTGAAATGTACTATCGTAATGCTTAAATTATATTTCTCTTTAGACTGTGATAGTTTTTGAAATAAAAGTTAACGTGTAATATGAAATGTTATAAGTAGACATATATTTTGGGATTGTGATCTTAGAGGGGTGTGTGTGTGTACGTGTGTGTGTTCTATGGGTACAGAAGTGTGACATGTTTAAAGATACTTAAAGAAAAGACAGTGTCTAAATATGAGAAAATATTGATCAGTTCTAGAATAACTTTAAAAAAAGATGTAATCTGCATTGATAAACTCAAATGATCATGGTAGAATGAGAGTGAATCTTACATTACTACTTTCAAAAATAGTTTCCAATAAATTAATAATACCTACCTAAATGGTCAACATTTTTGGAAAAGGAAGAAAATCGTCCATGAAAATAATACCCCAAAGTACTTGATGGTTGTTGGGAACAGGGTGCGTGCCCGTAAATACAGTTAACAAATACACGCAGATTTTATACCAAACAAATTAATTTTAGGTACTACTACATGCAAAGGAGACTTGTTCTTTTTACTTTGGTTTTAAAATAATTATGAATTAAAAATTACGAATCCTTCCTCATTGCACTCTTTTTTGCTCTTGCTAGGTGATTTTAATATTTCAAGTATTGTTTAACCTGAAATCTATTGATTGGAATGAGGATAGGGACACAGTGTTTAAAAGAAAACCCACAGGAATGAAATCTAAATTGTCTTTGCATTTTTACTTGCCGGATTTCATATTGTTTATGCTGAGGAAAAGGGAAACCAAACTTACCAATGTATACTTTTTCTGTAGTATTCTAAAGTCGGTGCCCAAACCACAAAATGCTGTGTTTCAGGCAAGCAAAGGACAGTAGTAACTGATCAATTGTGCAAATATTTCCTTAAATAATGCAGATGTCCTAGACTGTTTGTTGTATTTGTGTTTCTGGAAGTGGTTCAATTTCAAGGGGCTCAACCAATAGGACACAAGCTTTGGTTGGTTCTTCACTGAGAGAGGAACTGGCAGGATGTCTGCTGTTACATTCCTTTTGTCTGGAAGTCTCAGCTTCCTCACCCAGGAGAAACTTTCTTTTTCTACATGTGCTTGTTTTCTGAAGTGCCAGGAAGGCCAATTCTAAGGCCTGCCATCTCCAATAAAACACAATACAGGAAAGGAAACAGGAAACTTTTTCTTCAAAAAGAAGAAAGAAGAGCCTTCTGCTTAAGTGGGGAAAGAAGCAAACTTTTAAAGGTCTCTAGTTATTGGATCCCTTCCATTCTGCAGGAAGGGACCTCAGTACATTGACCCTCTTGCTTCTCATCTCCAGATGAGAGATGTGTAGAGGAATACAAAACCAACCAAAGAGGGATGCCTCTTCTTCCATTCCAGCTGAGAAGTTAGGAAAAGGTTTTCATTAAAAAGAATTCTTCATATTTATAAAGGTGGAAAATACCAAGAAAATTGTAGATATTTTATTAGCTAATAATGGAGGCTAGAAGATGGGAATCCAATAAAATGCAAATTCAAAAGAGGATTATTTAAGGAATCTAGGACAATTTGTGTAATGATTGTTTAAAATGTTGTTGCTGTGTGACTTTTAAACAATGCATTTTAATGGAAAATACATGCACCTGGGAAAATTTCACAAGATATTTTATGTCAAATATTAGTATACTCCACACACGTCCCTGCGCCTTCATTTTTTTACTTTATGTGTCTTGCAGATCATTTTCTATAATACATAGAGAAGTGACTCATTCTTTTTAAAGTTTACATTAAGTTTGTAATATGTTGGAATGGCAATACCATAATTGTTTTAACCAGTGACATTTAAGTTGTTTCCAGAGTTTTCGATCTAACAAATAATGCGTCATGAGTATAGAATTTTTGTTTGTGTGCCAGTGTAGTTATAGGATGACTAATAGTTGAAGCAAAATCCAAAATGCATGCTTTCTGTAGCTACTCAAAGTCTGGTATGGGCAAAATATCAAGATGCCTGCTTATCACTGACCAAGTGAAGATTAAGCTCTCGCTAAACTGTATCAAAGGAGAAAAGGGGAAATACAGGCTTATTTCACATTGAACAGTAATCTCTGGCGTTCAGTTAAAGCTAGACTTGTTCTAATTATTTTGATTTTGAAATAATTATTAAATAAAATCACAAGCCTTTTCTCACCACTTCCTTTTCTTGTTTTGTTAGAAGAGTTGAATATTTCAAACTTTGTTTCATCTATTGATAGGAATGAGCCTGGCCCTTTGTTTTTAAATTGGTGACATTATCAAACTTTATCATACTACTGACTTTCTTTTATAGTCTTAAAGAAAAACAGACAAAACGACCATTAGGCTTAAAAAATGTCTTCCACTGCAATTTTCATACCTTCTAAAATACTATTCTGAGGACAATATCAAAATGTAAAATAAATACATTATCTCTACATTAAAGAAGAAAATAATTTTATAATTCAAGCATCCAACATTTGTACAAAAGTGTATGTACATGTAGGCCTTTATATATTAGGTGTAAGGGTCGATAGCTTAGAAACAGTCAATCACATCACTAATCTAGGACTACAGTCTAGGTAATGCTAGGGAATTTTAATTCAGTAAACATTTATTTAGCCTGCCACTGCCAGTGAGCACTCTGCTAGCATTTGAAAAGATGTGAATAACATTGGTCTTTAACTTCAAAGAACTTACTGTTTAGCAAGGGAGATAATGAACATTAGTACTGGAAGCTGATTCAGTAGAGTGGTTAGAAACAGTCTCTAGAACCAGAAAGATTGGGGATTGAGTCATGGCTCCCCCAGTAATGTAGATGTGAGACTAACGCATGCATGAGAATACTATTATGTTTAGCTCAATGTAGGCACTCAATTTTAGGCCTTTACTATTGCACAATTAAATGAATATATTATGTTGTATTATATTACATAAATTAACACCCAACAACAGATTAAAATTAATTAAATCAGACTGTAGCTGCTTAGAAAAAGCTTCAGAGAAGAGGTGGTGTTTGAACCATCACCTTCTCTCGCCCTTTTATTTCAAGAAAGAAAAAGCAGCACTTAAACTAGAAAAAGCTAAAAAAATAAAGGGGGTTGATGCCGCTCATAAAAATCAAAACAGAAAGCATTCTGCAGACTCACTATTACTTCTGTTCCATTGTAATTTGCAATGTCTATCACTTGCCATGGTGACAAGTAAAATTCTGTCCCCAGTTTATGTGATATTCCAATACAGTTCCGCTCACTAAATTGCTTAGCCTTTCAGAGACTCCTATTCCAAAATCTTGGGTAAGGGTTCTGTTTAGCTTATCTTTAATCAGGGGTTCACCTCTGGTTCAATTGTCTAGCATGGTTACCCAGTTCCTAATGTATAAAAACAGCTGTCTATGTCCATTCCACCTGTAACAGGAACTATAGTAGTTTTACAAGAGGAATGTGCAGGGATAAATCCCACATCTTATGTCTAGCACAAATTAGCTTTGAAGAATGAGAAGGCACTTACAAGGTAGAAAAGAAGAGAAAGAGTTTCCTTTCTCCTGGAGACGGAGGAAGAAGTGCGAGCAAAATTACAGTTATAAAAATAAAAGTACATAATACACTGAGAAAATAAGTAATATTCCACTGTGGCTAGAGTTCGGGGTAGATGGGAAGAGGACTTTTCTGATTTTTGGTTATATAAATTTGTTATCCAGGAAAAATAGATTAAAAATTTTTATTTTCATCTTTATTGTATTAGGTGGCAATGGAATTAAAGAAGGTATATTTGAGACATATTTTGTCTCAAAAGATTACAGATGTCACAAACTATAGTGATTTTTTGTCAAAAAATATAAAATAGAAATATTATTTTGTTTCCAGAAAGATTTGTCACATTAGGTTTCAATTAATGTAAATAATACACACTTTTCACGAACACGGTGGATTTTCTTGCCCTAAATTTATAAATCCTATTAATGTGACGTAGTCCCTAACTATTAGTATATGAAAAATTACCTTGGAAGGGCAATGATAACCAACCCCTTGTTGTTTTAAACTGTTGAATAAATTCCCTAGTAAAAAGTAAAATTGGCAGAAAGCATGAAGCATGGCTTAGCTTGATAAATTCATAGTACATTTAGTAATATTTCACAATAACGTTCTCCTGATGAGCAACAAATACTTTTAAAAAGCATCCTATATGGAAACTTTTCACATATCTGTGATGCTCTGAAGTTCAAATTAAAAGCAGAAAATGATAGAAGCATATCTTGTTATATTGTACTTCACTTGATTATACTTTGCAGATACTGCATTTTTTTTAATTGAAGGTTTGGGGCAATCTTGCATTGCACAAGTCTATTGATGTCATTTTTCCAAAAGCATGTGCTCACTTTGTGTTTCCGTGTCACATTTTAGAAACTTTTTCATTGTTATTATATCAATTATGGTGATCTGCAATTAATAACTTTGATGTTACAATTGTAATCGTTTTGGGGTGCAATGAGCTGTCCCCATATAAGACAAATGTATGTGCTCTGACTGCTCCACTGACCAGCCATTTTCCCATTTCCCTCCCTCTCCCCATGCCTTCCAAGACCCTGAGACACAACAGTACTAAAATGAGACCACTTAATAACCCTACAATGGTCTCTAAGTGCTTAAGTGAAAGAAAGAGGTGCACATCTCTCACTTTAATGAGGAAGGCATGTGGGAAGCTGAAATAAGCCAGAGGCTAGGCCTCCTGGGGCAAACAGTTAGCCAAATCATGAATACAAAAGAAAACTATTTGAAGGAAATTAAAAGTGCTACTCTAGTGAGCACACAAGTGATAAGGAAGTACAACGCCCTTGTTGCTGATATGGAGAAAGTTTGAGTGGTTTGAATAGAAGATGAAACAAGCCACAACATTCCCTTAAGCCAAAGCCCAATCCGGAGCAAGGCTCTAACTCTCTTTAATTCTGTGAAGGCTGAGAGAAGTGAGGAAGCTGGAGAAAAGTTGGATATTAGCAGAGGTTGGTTCATGACATTTAAGGAAAGAAGCTGTCTCCATAACACAAAAGTGCAAGATGAAGCACAAGTTATCCAGAAGAACAGCTAAGATCATTGATTAAGGCGACTACACTAAACAACAGATTTTCAGTGTACATGCAACAGTCTTCTGTTGAAAGAAGATGCCATCTATGACTTTCATATGTAGAGAAGTCAATGCATGGTTTCAAGGCTTCAAAGGACAGGTGATTCTCTTGTTAGGGGCTAAAGGAGCTGATGACTTTAAATAAAAGCCAATGATAATTTACCATTATGAAATTTCCAGGACCCTTAAGAATTGTACTAAATCTGCTCTGCCTGTGAAATATAAATGGATGGAAAAACAAGGCAATGCCTAGATGACAGCACATCTGTCCACAGAATGGCTACTGAATATTTTAAGCCCACTGTTGAGAGTTACTGCTCAGAAAAAAAGATTCTTTCAAAATGTTACTGCTCATTGACAATGCATCATCACCCAAGAGCCCTGAGATGTACAAGGAGGTTAATGTTTTCATGCTTTTCTTTTTTTTTTTTTTTTTTGAGACAGAGTCTCACTCTGTCACCAGGCGCCAGTCTGGAGTGCAGTGGCACAATCTCGGCTCACTGCAACCTCCACCTCCCAGGTTCAGGCAATTCCCCTGCCTCAGCCTCGTGAGTAGCTGGGAGTACAGGCGCACGCCACCACGCCCAGCTAACTTTTTTTGTATTTTCAGTAGAGACGGGGTTTCACCATGTTGGTCAGGGTGGTCTTGATCTCTTGACCTTGTGATCGACCGGCCTCGGCCTCCCAGTTCATGCTTATTAACACAACACCCATTGTGCAGCCAATGAATCAAGGTATAATTTTGACTTTCAAGTCTTCTTATTTTAGAAAAACATTTTATGAAGTTATAGTTACCATAGTTAGTTATTGCTCTGATGGATTTGGGCAAAGTAAATTAACCTGGAAAGAATTCACCATTGTAGATGCCATTAAGACATTCATGACTCATGGGAGGAGGTCAAAGTATCAACATTAACAGGAATTTGGAAGAGGTTGATTTCAACCTTCATAAATGGCTTTGAGGCATTCCTTCAAGACTTCAGTGGAGGAAATTACTGCAGATATGGTAGAAATAATAAGAGAACCAGAATTAGAAGTGGAGCCAGAAGAAGTGACCGAATTGCTATAATCTTTTGATCAAAGTTGAATGGATGAGGAGTCAGTGCTTATAGATGAGCAAAGAAAATGGTCCATTGAAACAGAATATACCACTGGTGAGGAGGCTGTGAATATTGTTGAAATGACAATGAAAGATATAGAATATTACACAAATTTAATTGTTAAGAAAAAGTCAGAGTTTAAGAGAATGGAATCCAATTTTAAAAGGAGTTCTACTGTGAGTAAAATACTATCAAACAACATTGCACACTACAGAAAAAAACTTTTGTGAAGAGAAGAGTCAGTCACTGTGGAAAACTTCATTGTTGTCCTGTTTTAAGAAATGGATACAGCTGATCTAATTCTCAGCAACCACTACCCTGATCAGTCAATAGCTAACAACACTGAGGCAAGACCTTCCACTAGCAAAAAGAAAACAACTTGCTGAAGGCTCAGATGATCATAAGAATTTCTTAGCAATAAAGTATTTTTTTAATTAAGGTAAATACTTTGTTTTTTTAATATATAATGCTATTGTGCATTTAGTAGACTATAGTGTAAAAATAATTTTATATGCCCTAGAACACCAAAAAAATCACATGACTTGCTTTATTGTGATACTCACTTTATTTGTGATGCTCTAGAACTAAATCTAAAATATGTCTGAGGTATGCCTGTGACTAGTCTGGGGATAAGTGCAAAACTCCAGGCACTCTCGTATAATGCTAGTGGGTATGCAATTAGCATACCTTTCTGAAAAGCAATTTGGCAGTGTTTAAAATGTGAAAGATCTTTGATGCAATAATTTCATTTCTAGAAATTTAAGAACAGAAACATGGATGTATAAAAATCCATCTACAATGGTATCTTAATAGCAAAAATTGAAAATGAATTACATGTTTTATAGGATAGAATAATTTAGATAATTTACATTATTAAAGCTTCTGCAATCATTAAATATATATGGAGAAACATTCAGAATTCTCCATGTACAAATATTTGAAAAAAGGATATTT